TCTCTTCCCTGAAAATATGATCGTATGAGCTGTATGGCTTTATCGGAGAAATTGTAGGCCTGCAGTTTATTTATGAGCAACTGAGGGCTGAGAGAGTCAAAAGCCTTGCTCATATCCGATGACAACATACCGACAATTTTCTTGCTGTCTAGTTCTGCTCTCCATGTTTCGGTCAGCCTTATCAGGGTGGTCTCACAGCTATTCTTTGCACGATAGGCAGTGATAGCATCGCTGAGTCTGTCATCCATAAACTTACTGACTTGTTGGCCCAGCAATACTTCATAGACTTTATTCACGCATGGCAGCACCGTGATAGGTCTATAGTTTGTATCCCTTTGTTTATCATCCTTCTTATGTACCGGTATCCATTCTCCACGCTTAAGCTTTGCTATCCATTCTCCATTTCTAATCGCTTGGTTAAAAATCACAGGGGTCTTGAATGAAGGCAATATGCGAACAATTTCCTCCGAATAGACCTTGTAACCCTTCTTTGCTAAATCCATCAGTAAATATATCTTAGTGGATTGTAAACTTTGTTTGGACTTTGGAGAGATATTTCTCTCAAGCGGATATTCTTTGAAAAAAAAAAAAAAAAACACTAGCAGAGCATGGATGCACAGCTGAACTCCCTCGGGTACAAGGGTGTTCAGCTGTGTGGATGTAGGTTTGCCATTGCAGTTCTTCCTGCCTCCGTCTATACACCACCGATAAGTGCCATGATATCCCAGTCCTTTTAGGACCCTCAGTGGCTTCACGCCAGAAACTTCATCGCCCAGGTGTCAATGATAAAAACAGTCTCTTTATCTCGCGCGCGTCTTCCTTTCTCGTGGGCGTCCCTTTGCCAGTTTTTCATAAAAAGCTAGCAGTTACCTCGAAAAGTAAGTGCCTACCCAGCCACATGATTCTTTTCACCTAATGTATCAATCTTAACCGTAAAAATGTCACCATTATCCAGATTAGTGCTACATACGTGACAGTGTTTTTTTTTTTTTAACTGTACTCGGATTTCCGGCTATCCACTTGAAGAACAGTCTTGGAGGTTCCCTTTGGCACTTGTAAACTTATGTACAGATAATTTTTTTCTAATGTACAAATGGTGTTCCTGTTCTAACCGAATGCAAAAATCAGCCCTGTGCCTTGGCAAGTGCATCCCTAGAAGGAGAATGATGTTACTGCCGGGAGAAAAAAAAATAAAGCCCTGGCAGCTACCTAACAGGATTTCGTACAGGGAGGATTCGCCCAGGGGTCCAATCCCTTACTAGCCGTGTTAGGGGGAAGGATGCGGCTACAGCTAGGCTAACCCTTACCCTTTTATATACCATTTTTGACAGAAAAATTAACCCTTTCATTTATTTTCTTTATGTTGATAACTGGTTCAGCTTTCATGTAATAGATTAGGACTGTGCATCCCTTTTAACTGCTGTAAATGCACTGCCTTCTAAAATTGAATAAATCACAAACCCAGAACGTTTTCTCGACTTTTCTTAGGCCTTAGATTCATCTGCTAGCCCGTCTGGGCCTCTTTCGGCAGACCGGAATGACAGATTTCCCTACCCTTTCATAAACTTCAACTAGTGAAATCCCTACCCTTTCATATACCCGAAGCCTGGAAAAGGTACCCCTTTCGGGCGTAGCCTTCCGAATACGCCGATATAGGGAGTACCCTTCCCCCCCTCCACCGGGCTGTTAAGAGATAATAAAAGAAACAGATACAAATACATATAAGATGATCATATTAACACAAATATTATGTTATAGAAAGATATTTACCTGGTCTGGCTCACATACACTTTATTTCAGATATTGCCCATTCCCTGCCCTTTCGAAGCTATAGCCCCGGCTGTGCTTTTGGCCACGGTTGCGTGACTTTCTGGTAAATTTCCTGTCCGGCAAGCTTGCTGTTCGAAACGCAACACATGTGAGTGTAGCTAAATGTCGTGGGTCGTGGGTCGAGGTCGTGGGTCGTGGGTGTGCGTGTCGGTAATTGTCGTGGGTAAAAAAAAGTATAGAAAAAAAAATGATAAAGTAAAGTAATTGAAAAAAAGAAATAGATAGAAAAAAGTTGTAAAATATTTATGAAACGAAAATCTCCGACTCCTTGATTGCCTTTTTCGTCACGGACTCTTCTTCGTCCTCTTCCTGATATTTCCTAAGCTCCGTGGGACTTGGCTCCCCATTCACAACATAACTGTATAAAAGACATGTTGCCGATGAAGATTTTATCCATACCAGAGCTATCGCCGTGAAATAAACGAAACAGACGTAAATTATACCTGCAATTGGCAGAAAGTATGGGACAGCTCTGACTCACGACATCTACCCCCACCCACACCCATGACTTACAGTCGTTCTGTCGCAATTTGTAATAATCATCGCACTTTGTAATACCTGTCGCAATTTGTAATAAACCGTATCGCACTTTGTAATAAAAAAGCTGTCGCAATTTGTAATAACTGTCCATCGCACTTTGTAATGAACTAATCTGTCGCGATTTGTAATAATTCTATCACACTTTGTAATACTTTTTTGAGAGTGATTCAACTTACTTCGTCAACATTGATATAAAGCCAAAATACGCATGGTACTTCATAAACAAATTGCGACAGGTATTACAAAGTGCGATGGATTTATTACAAATTGCGACAGGTATAACAAAGTGCGATGATCATTACAAATTGCGACAGTACGACTCACGACCTTTACCTACTACCCACGACCCACGAAATTTAACTACACTCAACACATGTCCCCTGACCAGGGATTCGATCAAAAGCTTCAGAAGGGCCCAGAAGTGGGATCATTTTGCAATGGTGGAAACTAACATTGAGCTGATATAAGGTGAACATAACCTTTGGAGTTTCGTATCTGTTGCTGAGAGACCTGTGAGAAGTAATTAGCACAAAAATCGCGTTGTCTTTGTTTGTGTTCGGATTACATTGTCTAATTATCTTGAAACTATTTACATCCGAAACCGACGTAATTGTTGCTTTTAAGCAAATTCAAAACGTCCTGTGAATTCTAAAAGACAGAGTGTACAGAAAATCTTCTTTTGATCGAGTAACGGGCTTTTTGAAAGAACGACTGTATTGACAACTAGAGCGCTGATGCTAATTCTGACTTTGCAAATTCTGCAGGTCTGACTTCCAGTAGCTTCCAAAAGTACTAAATACCTTTTCTGGCAAATTACTAGACTTTTTTTCAGTTCAAGAAAGAATCGTTCACATTAAAATTAATTTAGAAATTCTATCGGCAAATATCTAAGTTGATAATTTGCCAATCGTGCGTTAACAACATCACATAACAAAGCTATTCCGGCGACTTGTATCAGGGGCACCCAACTATGGTTTCCTCCTAAATGCATTGAAAAGTCTTATTGGGCTATCCAGAGTACTTTTAGATCTCTAGAAATGCATTCAAAGTTGCACTATAAAATTTGTATCTGTTCGGTCATCCTAGGGGAACTTGAGGCTTTTCGAAATTACAAGGGCTTCAGTGTTATTTTCCCGAAAATTTCAGGATGCAATTGCACACTTCACGAAAGAGAGAATTTTTCTTATTCCTCTCTCCATCACATTTTTGAATCCGAAAATGATAGGTTTCCTTTTTCTACGAAAGCTAGCCTAACATAGGAAGCAAAATATGAAAAAGTAATCTTCAGAAAATCTCAGGGAATTTTTTAGATAGGCTTCGAAAATTGTACCTGAATAGAACGCTCATCTAGAAATTATTAGCCGTATTCAATCAATAGAAAATTCTAGGCAATATTAGCTTCTCCGAACAGATATTTCACAGAAAACAGACGTTGGGTTCCCCTGGTGTATCAAAGGTACAAAGGTGAGTTAGACCTTGACACTTTTCGTGGCAAATCTTTAAGATCTATATTAGAGCACTGGGATGTTAAAAAGTTAGAGACTGGGGTACCAGGAGCATTTTTATTATGATTAACATTAGCTACATTTTACCAATTACCGCCATTAAAAGCGGTCCCCGAAGGGGTTTTCAAAACGGCCTGAAAAATCAAAGTATTGTCATATCTAAAAGTTTGACACATTGCTTGCGTACAGGAATGATTGTTTTGAAGTTCTGTTTCTGTTGGGATCAGTTGGATTTTAAGACTGCGGCGAAACCTCGTCCCCTCACCTCAAGGGAAAAACTGAACCTTGACTTCAATTTAATTTTTTCGCGAATTTCAGAAATAAACAAAATCTCTGAAACATCTTGAATATGAATTTTGAAAATAACCTACCTAAGGGTATCTTTGGGCAAAATATCAGGGAATCGCCAAATGGATCGCTGACCGCCGATTCTCGATCCTTACCGGCAGCTATTCTAAAGGAGCTGTGTCACAATTTCGTTGGTATTGCTTTTAAATCCTTATGAACGCGTGTTAATTGAAAGGATTACGGTTTAGTCTTACGCATGTTAAATTACTTTACTGGCTGACCTAAACAGTGGGAGGATGTTTTTCTTCTGTTGAGTTACACTGGTGTGCAATCGAATTTTTTTAAAACTAATCATGCTTTGATTGCCCTTTGAGAGAATCGTCTAATAAAATGTATATATATATATATTTTTTTTAACCGAGGCTACGTAGTTTTCATTTCAGCTCAACCTTGACCCGAAATTGAAGAATTCAGCTTGACATTTAAGGCCCTCATTCTCAACGTTTTATTTGCATCTCACTGGTTTTGAATGAGTGGGAAGCGTAATAGGATAATGATCAGATGGGCGAATAACTTAAAAGCATATTTCTTTGGAAGGTTGCAGTATATAGCAGTGTACTGTTCATGATGTGACTTAATTTATGAAATTCCAGACGGAAAGTATGGTATTGACCCAAGAGATGAGAGTAAAGTATTACGTTTCAATTCTTCTGGGCTTTATGTTTTAACAGATACAGATTTTATAGCAACTGTTGCTTTACAGTCATTATTACCTCACTACATAGCATAAGTCTAACACGCTTTTTAGAAAAGTCCAGATGATCACGTGACAAGAGCTCACTGCTGAGCTTTTGCTACTTCTTCAATGAAGATACGATTCATTGAATGCCAACCGGAGTCGGCGTCAGCAAGCTGATACCCTGTGACGCACTTTCCAACCCAGAATGCTACTCGCACCTTTCCTTTCTGAATGTTATTGCAGTGACCTTCAATGTGGCGGTGACGGTGAAGATTGTGGTTTCTGCCTGTGTGAATGTAGAATGCTCCATCAATAGTTCCAGGGGAGCTGCACTCGGTTCCATTGAAGGTGAAATACCAGCGACTACAGCAGCGGTCACAAAAGGCAACCCTGAGGTTACCAGCATAATAGACATGCAGGGAAGTGTCCGGGTATTTCTTCACAAAGTCACAGTTCTGAACAGAAAAAAAGATTAAGAAAGAAAGAAAACATTTAAAATGGTATCATCTCTGGCACCATGAAAGTCAATTATATTGATGAATTCTTCGTTTTGAGAAATTCATCAACAGTATTTTATTATTATTATTATTATTATTATTATTATTGCACAGGGATATTGCTCACTTACATATATCAATCCTGAATCTTTGCCGTCTACCTTTTTCCAAGCACACTCCTTCCAGTTCATGTGTGAAGCCAGTAGTGGCGATCCACTGTCGCCTTTGTCCCCTGGCTCTCCTTTTTGTCCGGAGGAACCCTGGATCCCAGGCTCTCCCTTTGCTCCTTTCTTTCCGTCAGCTCTAGGTGGTCCCTGGGTCCCATTTTTTCCCGGGCTACCCAGGTCTCCTTTGGCTCCATCTCGACCAGGTGGCCCAGGGGCTCCTGCGACGCATGCCATGTATGTCCACATCCCGGTTTGCCCGCCATTATTACAAGGTGGACAAGATGGAACAGGCTGCCACATAGTAACCATTCAGTTAGTGACGTCTGAGAAGCAGCGCCGATATCCTTGTCCCAGGTCCCCAAAAGACTCAACGAATTACCGGAAATAGGTTTCGAATTTCCTTTCATCCTGATTGGCAAATCGACAAAAGCTTTTTTTAAAGGCCAATCACGGCGCATACTTAAATCCTGGTACACAGGTGGGGGCCCAGAACAAGGATTTCGGCGCTGTTTCACAGACATATTTAACCAGCGGTTATGACGCAGGCTACCAAAGAGAGAAAAATGTTAATAATTATATAATACACTAATTGCTTTCAATAATTTATCCGTCAAAACAATTATATAGCGTTTAATTCAAATGAGTAGACTGAGCGATTTTCCTGAATTTGCAAGTTTGTTTAACTTATAGATTTTCTGACCGTTTTTAAAATATCGATTGACGTTGACTTAGTACATGAAATCATACCACGTAACTTTTATTAGTTCGTAACCTTGAGATTTTAAACAGCCTAAGAAAATGTGTAGGTTCCATAACGTTTAATTTTGGTATAAATGCAGTTACCTTGGTGTCTGGTGTTTTATTGTCCACAGCAGAGCAGGAAGCAGTCATCAACGATAAAATCAGAACAAACAACATGGTGGACAAAGAGAAGTCAACTCGTGATTGCACCATCATGGTTTTCAGTCTAGCTTGTCCGAACATTAAATGATCCTTCATAATATGAAATAATTTGAAAACCTAAGTTAGTTACTCGATTTTATTACTACGGAAAAAATAATCCAGTCGTAGTAAAACATACATTAATAGACTGAAAGCAGGGAAACTCATCCTTAAAATTCAACAAGATAGAATTTAAGGTGGCTGCCGAGAGTATTTACTAATAACCCTAGCTATCTAGGATACGTTACAGAGGAAAAGCTAGTTACTTTGTCTTCGCGATTTTGTTCACGAGATTAACCGCTATATAAGAAGGTTCCTTTATCAAATTTTATTTTCTGGATTAAGGCCGTTGCCATGGCAACATCACATCCTTAGACAGGTAGTAAGTTTGTCATTTCTGATCATTTTTTCTGAATGTTTCTTATTTCCCTCGGTGAAATGTCTTTAAACTTTGCCACTTTATATAAACGATATAGCTTAACATTTTAAAGTGTAAAAAACATGAGGTCATTAAGACGGTTTTGACGATATTTTGAAATTTGTAATTTTTCTTAATAGAGAAATTTAGTTCTTACAGATCTTAACAAAAAAAAGACAGTATATAGGTACTGCAACTGTTAAGAAATTAGGCCATTTTTAAAACAAATTACCGAAGGAAACGCGAGAAATTCACGGTTAATTTACTACGCTGACGTCACAAAAATCGGAAAAAACACGGGTGGTTCGGGTCGAATGAGCAAAATACGCGCGCGAGCCATCACGCGAGCATGCGCCTAATGCACATAGCTACTGAAAACATGTGGTTTCTCAGAAAATTACGAAAGCCATTCTTAAAGCCGTATATTAGTATTATTACGGTGATATCTCGCCAGTTGAAAAAGGAGAGAGAGCGGATTCAATTTTAGCGGTTTCCCTCTGCACGTTAGTTGGAGGTAAGGTTATCTCAGTCTGCTCTGGTCTGGCCTCAAATTTCTGTTCTCCTGGTGCCCTGTTGCGATTGAGGTGTCGTCTGTTTCTGCGATATTTCCTTCCACTTGCTGTCTCAACTACGTAAGATCTAGGAGTGTGATGTTTGTATGACACTACAGCCGGTACCCACTCGTCTCTGTGTTTCATCGTGACAGTATCTCCAGTTTGAAGTGATTCCAACTCCCGTCCACAGTGTCGATCAAAATAATGTTTTTGCGTTTCTTTCACTTTTTTGAGCTTCCCGACTACTTCTTCCTGTCCTTGCGGTCTCAACAATTCTGCAGTGGTAGGTAATGTTGTTTTCAGACGTCGACCCATCATCAGTTGACCTGGGGACTTGTTAATTGCGTCAAGTGGCGTGGTTCGATAGCTAAGCAGGGCTTTATTTATGTCGACGGACTTTGACATCAAGTTTTTGGTTGTTTGAACTGCTCTTTCAATTTGTCCATTTGATTGCGGGTAGTGAGGGCTGGTTGTTGTGTGCGTGAACTCATAGTCCTTTGCAAACTCCGCAAACTCGGCTGCTCCGAACTGAGGCCCATTGTCGCTTACGACTTCATCGGGTATACCATATCTTGAGAAGTGCTTCTTCAGTGCATTAACTGTCGCCTTACTGCTTTGGTTTTCGAGTTGGTCTACTTCCATCCACTTAGAATAATAGTCAACAGCACACAAGTAGTGATGACTGTTCATTTCGAACAAATCTGTGCCTATTTTTGCCCATGGCCTGTTTGGGGAATCATGTGGTATCATTGGTTCTTTGGCTTGCTGTCTCTGGTGCTGACTGCATGTATAGCACTTGGCTACTTTGTCTTCAATTTGCGTCGACATCCCTGGCCAGAACAGCACATCTCTCGCTCGCTGTTTGCACCTGACAACCCCAAAGTGCCCCTCGTGTATTTTGTCTAACATTTCTGACTGCAGGGTGTGAGGCACTATCACTTTCGGCCCTTTAAACAGCAGTGCATCAATGACTGAAATTTCGTCTTTGTACGCCCAGTACTGTCGGAGGTCTGGGGACAGCTTTGCTTTGCTATCTGGCCATCCCTCTAGTACTGTGTCAGTTAGGGACTGCAATACTGGGTCTGCTGCTGTAGCTTGTTGAAGCTCTAGATACTTTTCCTGTGAGATGGGAAGATAAGCTGTGAGACACACGTCACTGACTTCTAAGTCCTCCACGAGCGTTTCTTTGGTTTCTGGCAAGTAATGGCGACTAAGGGTATCTGCTAGTTGCATTTCATTCCCAGGCTTGTATGTAACCTTGAGGTCATACCTTTGTAGGCTCATCATCATCTTCTGCAATCGCGGAGGTGCCTGATGAAGATTCTGTGCTAAGATCCTCTCGAGCGGTTTATGGTCAGACTCCACGTGCACTGTTCGTCCATAAACGTACTGATGAAACTTCTGGCAAGCGTAAACTATTGCAAGTAACTCCTTCTCAATCTGTGCAAACTTCTGCTGCGCAACAGTCAAGGCTCTAGAAGCATATGCAATCGGCTTGTTCTCTTGTAGCAATACTGCACCAAGTCCGTTAGCACTAGCGTCAACGTTGAGGGTGACAGGCTTGTTTGGGTTGTAGTAGCCCAGTACCGGAGATTTGGTTACCATCTGCTTGAGTGTTTGAAAACTTTGTTGCTGTTCTTTGTTCCAACGCCAGACTACTCCTTTCTCCAATAGTCGTCTGAGAGGTGCACTTTCAGCAGCTAGATTAGGCAGAAATTTTCCAAGGTATTGGATAAAACCTAGGAATGTTCTGAGTTCTTTAACATTCTGTGGTGGTTGCATCGCTTCGACTGCTCTGACCTTCTCTGGGTCCGGTTTCAAACCCTCACTGGTCAGGAGATGTCCTACATAGGGGACATGGTCTTTCCTCACTTGGCATTTCTTGCTATTTAACTTGAGACCAACCTCTCTCGCTCTGTTTAGGACTTGTCTCAACCTTGCATCGTGCTGGTCAGTACTGCTGCCCCAGATCAGTATGTCATCCACAATTGCTCCTGCAATGGGCTCTGCTCCAGGTATGCCCTCCAAAATCTCGGTCATGTATCTCTGGAACACCTCAGGGGCCGATTTGATTCCGAAAGGGAGCCTTTTAAATCGATACCTCCCGAAGGGGGTGTTGAACGTGCACAACTTCGAGCTTTCCTCGTCTAATTCTATTTGCCAGAATCCTGATGTTGCATCCAACACAGAGAATACTTTGGCATCTGGCATGTCTACAACTATCTCTTCAATCGTCTTCATAGGGAAATGTTCTCGTTTAACAGCTAGGTTTAAATCTCTAGGATCTAAACAGATGCGAATCTTATTCGGCTTGACCACGGTAACCATACTGCTAACCCATGCTGTTGGTTCGATTTGCCTCTCTATCACTCCTGCTTTCACCATTCTTTCAAGCTCATCTTTGATTCTGCCCTTCAGTGCAACCGGTACCTTTCTTGGTGGATGTACCACTGGGATGACTGTTGGGTCAATTCTGATGGTATGTTTACCTGGTAAACATCCAAGCCCGTGGAAGAGATCTGGATATTCTAGTAGAATATCTGGACGTGCATCAGTAATAACCGACGAGTCTATGACAGAGTTTACCCGCTGGACTAAATTGAGATCCTTGCATGCTTGTGCACTTAAGACGGACAGCACATCACCTTCTGCAATGTAAAACTTCATGGGGTACGTTTTGTCCTTGTGTTCGCATAAGAGTGTTGTGCAACCATGAATAGGTATCTGGTGACCAGAGTATGACCTTAACTTGGCTGCTGTAGGTTGAATTGTTGTCTCCTCCTAGAGTCTTTAACGTCGTTAAAGACATAACATTGCATTTCGCTCCAGTGTCTAACTGAACAATAACTTTCTTGTTGTTGACGGTCAGCTCTTCGCGCCATTCACTGAGGCTAACTGCATTTACTGCGTCTATACAACCCACATAAAACATGTCATCTTCACTTTCGCTGCTGGTTTCTTTTGTCCGAGCTTCATCGCCACTTCTGCATTTTTCCACATATCGGACAGTTCTTCTCTTCTCTCTTGACTTGCAGACTTTGGCAAAATGATTTAACTTGGCACAAATCAGACATTTCTTTCCCTTAGCCGGACATTCTGCTTTACTGCTGTGTATGTAGCCACACATTCCACACTCCTGTTCAACTCCCAGTCTGCCAAGTTTCCTCTTGTCCAATTTCTCACTCTGCCTTCGAGCTTGATTCACTTTAACAGCGTGAATCTTGCTGTCTTCGTCCTCCATGGTTTTGAGTTGCGTTTGAGACATTTCCAGTGTGAGTGCAATTTCAACCGCTTTCTCTAACGACAATTCAGATCCTTCTTGTATCAACTTTTCTCGCACTTTCTTGGAGTTGCAACCAATGACAATTCTATCCCTGACCATTTCGTCTGGATCTGCATATCCACAATCTTTCACTAGCAGCTTGAGGTCAATAAGAAACTGTTCGAATGGCTCATTATCGCCCTGAACTTTCTTGTGAAACTTGTATCTAGCAAATACCTTATTCGATTTCGGCTTCACATGGGCTTCGAACCTCTCGTAGTAGCTGTTGCTTTTTTCCTCTCCATCTCCAAACGTCCAGGTCTGATATATGTCTCTTCCCTTTTCTCCTACCCAAATCATGAGATAATTGCATTTCTGTTCCTCCGATTTCGACTTTAACGGTCCGCCAAACATAAATTCAAGATGGCGTCGAAACGACTTCCACGCAGTCGGTAAATCCTTGCTGTTCCAGTCCATTTTTGGTGTATTTGCCGATGACATTTCCTCCATTTCTTCTTAAACGTGATACGGAACTCTTTTTCACGATGGATGGCTACTCTAACGGGTCATTCAACTCGATTCACTCCTGGTACCATGTAATGTACGACCAAACCACACCATGTTGAGTGTAACAACTGATTTAATTAGTTACCCGTCATGCCTAGTACAGGCATGGCATTAGCATACATCACACCTAACACTGGATGGTTCCTCAGCTGCACGTAGAAGACCGTAGTTCTCGACGGACAACTATTGCTTTCGTCAAGGGTCAATCTGTGACTCAAAACTTATTTTTTGGTTGTCCAAAAACATTTTCTCGTGCATCTTGTGCGCTGAAGGACTTTTGAAACAAGAAAACGCACAAGGATGTTGGTTCGTCGATGGAAAGGTTCCTTCGATCAGGATGCACGTTAAATAGGAAACCTTTTTTTAAACAATGTGAAAGAGTTGGCAAAACAAAAAAATGTACTCTTCCTTCTTCTCGTGATCTTGCGTCAAAGCCACTTTTAGAATTTCTTAAATCAAATTAAGTGTAAGAGAAATACGGTGACCGAGGACATCTGCCGGTAAAGACAATCTTCAGTGTTTTTTCGGGACTTGACTCGATCTTTCAGATCTTCACCACCGACAGTGAACCAAAGGCTAGAAACAGCAGCACTGCTTCCTTCAGGGTTAGTGTCCTTTACTTTTTTGTTTTCTTTGTAAAGTTTCCATTCACCATTTTCTTCGAGTATTTTTTCGTTTGTGTACTTTTAAAGTGAAAGAATTGATTCTTTTGTGCTACGTTTATACATACACTTTACTCTTATGGAGATCAAAAGTGACTTGTAACCGGTGTAACATTGTCTCCTCTCATAAATGTTTGACCTAAACTAACCAAACTTTTGGCACAATGAGCTTCAACAGAAGGTTAATAAAGTGTTTTAGGGGGAATATTTCGAAACTGAGAGGCCATGCATGCTTGTTTTATTTTTGCGTGGACATCGCGCAGATTTTAAAGCTCGCACCATATTAGTGCTCAGGTTGTGCACGGCCAATTTACTCTAGGGAGCCACCTTAAGACTTTCAACAAACCAAGATAAGGATCCACAGTAAATCACTTTACAGAAAACAAATTCTATAACCTCCAATGGAAGACAAGCGGCGAAATAAAACCGATTTCCTCAGTCAATTCCTAGAATCCTCCAAACCTTTTAAAAGCTTTAAAAGCAAAAAAGGGAGAATATGACATTTTGACATGAGGTAAAAGCACCTTGAGAAAGGTAAAGAAAGAAAAAATGTTGGTGGGAAGCGCGTCAGTCTGGCTTGTCACTAACTCCTTTACAGCAGCTGTGAAATTAAACGACTAGCACTGATTAAGCTTGAAAGTTAGCATAAATAGTTTTCCTGAAGTCAACTGAATAAACAAGTAATTTTTTTGGTAGTGTAAATTCAAGCTTTAGCGGCATCTTTTAATCCAATTCTCAAGACAGCCTTTTACTTAAACGTAGCGACTAAATCTCAACTGAACGAAACGAAAACTTGTGTCTTATCTACCAGTTCTAGACAAGACAAAAAGGTCAGGACTCACAACCACGGGATTGCAAACGTTTAAAATTTCCTTAGGACAAAGCAATAAATATTTTCTTCAAAAAATCTATAGGAAGCTCCCCTTTAGGAATACGTGTCTTTTCACCGATGTCCTTGTATCCCTTTTTATGAGTGCATGATTAAATTTCAGTTTGTGGTTTTTTTCTTTTTTTAATCGCATCATTGTTTATGTACTGTTCTTAGCATTCACCGTTAAGTTCGCGACTGGATATTGTTTCAGGTTTGATTCTAGTCTTGTTGGTTGATGTTTTCCTGATTAATTCGTGATCGAGAAATCACCGTGACTTTATAGACAGAAGATTACTTCAGTGAGTCTCAACTTTCCACAACTAATCTTGAAGAATGTTTAATACGCATTAGGAACCTTACGATCCGACAACGGCGACGTCCATGAAAACTTCACTGAAAAATACACCTCGCATCCTTTCTAACTATTTTGCGATTATCCGAAGTCACCCTGTTACTTAAAAGAAGCTAAAAGAGAATTTAGGTCGGAGCTGGAGAGAGGGAACGCATAGAACGCGCCCGACTTCAGACAAAGATGGTAGAATTTATTCGCCTTACCGTTCCCGTTCTCAAGTAAACTTAAAATTTGGTCTTTTCGCGTCGTACACTGTAGTTGTACAAGAACGGCAAATATATTTTACAAAAAGGCGTGATACACTTGCAGAGTTGTTGTTTTGCTCATTAAACCTATTGTTTTGTTTTGTTTTTACGCTCCCGCGGCCGTCGCCGTCGTAGTTTCCTAAGGTCCTTTTGTCATGAATTCAAAGCACGAAATCCGGCCTTAAGAGTTTGAATTACGTACTTACTGATAAATTCGAAGACACCAATCTTACCTCCTTTCCTTCTTTTCGAGAAAAATGATTTTGGCTGGAGAAGGTGTTGGTTCAAGGCCTTTCAAACAAATGTAGTGTAGGTCATTATTCATGTGCTTCAAAAAAGGTAATGCGAAAATACTATTGGTCGCTTCCTAACTTGTTCCCAAGTAACAGAACATATTAATGCAAACTGTGTTGCGCTGGTTTATGTGTCGTTTGTCATTGTTGGGCTTTGCAAATCTTAACTAACGACGTGAAAATGCCTAATTTCACGTTTAGTGGAGTCTGATGAACTCAAGACAACGACTTTATTTTTTTCTTTTCCTGAACTTTCTATATAGCTTTGAGAATTCAACTCCAGAAAAATCGCCGCCAATTTACGAATTGAACGAGATGGAATAAGCGCGATCAAGTTTGAAGCAGCGCGAATTCCCTTTGTATATTAAGTGACGTTTTCGTAGCCGTCGGTGTCCGTGGTTGTTGCTTAAACTCCCTAATGTATGTCGACTGTGGTTTACTCGCAGACAACAAAAACGCTGGGATTCTCTTTGAAAACTTGAAGTCTTCTTGGTCGTCATCATTAAGAAATAAAAATACACTTCAGTGAAGCCAGTCTAGCGCACCCGCTTCCTTATTGCAATTATTGGGTGAGGTTGAATATGAAGAATTATGCAGATCGAGAAGGGTGGTGTATTTATAATAATTATTCAATGTGGCTAAATATCATTTAGGCAAAGTTAAACTCGAGCGAGTTGGCCAGAGGTCTTTGCCCACTCCAGTACGCGACCTACGGGGCGGTCCTCGGGGAATTGCAGGGCTCCTAATGTGTGCTGCTCTTTTGCTAGAGTTGCGCTGCATTGTATCTTTGCTTGCTAATCGTAGCGGATCAATTTTTGCCTTCTTGCGAATCATTACGGATTCTCGCTCCCTCTCCTCCCTTCCTGCCTGGTGTTTTCGTAAGTATTTTCTCAGCTAAGTATTCTCTTAGGTAAGTATCTCCCCTGAATCTATTCAGTATGAAGGTGCCGGGTGGCTCCGGCTTCCAGGGTTGCCATGGATACCTCCTCTCTGCTTATTGCATTTGGCTCCCCACTAACCTTTAAGGCACCTGCTCCCAAGCTCATCATAAGCAATGAGTTTAATTGAAAATATTTCCAAATTTATTCAACATGCTTACCTCCATGGGTGTCAACTTCTTGTCTTTAACAGACTCAACAAATTCAGATGTAAAGGGATGATTAGTTAGGCAGATGTTCTCAAAAAGCACTTGATTTACCATACGGTTAAATTGTATTTTTGCCGTTCTTGCCATATTTTTAGGAAATAAGAAGAGCGAGAGTCCTTTTATGAGAATCAGTATTGTTCTCAGTTGCAAGCAAAACTCGCCAGGGTTATGGCTCAGCCATATTGTTGTCTCTTAGGGCCTGTTTACTTGGAGGTGAGGGACCCCAGAGAGGGGATGTAACATGTGGCTGGTCACCCCACCTATCATGTAAACGAGATCAAATTAATATGAGAGATGATATGGACAGGCAGGTTACCCCACCTATGCGGGTTACCTCCCTGGGGGGTACTCCCTTATATAAGCCATATAGGTATGTGCCGCACCATCGGGTAGGGTTTTCGCGCCGTTTTTGTCTGAAAACGGGTATACACTTAGCGCATTTTGGTCTGGAATCGGGTATGGTTTTCGAGGGAACTACCGATCAGTATATATGAAAGTATTCATCGTTTCAATTCCAAATGAGTAAGAAAGAAAGAGACATATGCGGATTCGGAATGGATTTGAATAATTTTTGGTTTGCCCTCTAATCGAAGCAATGATAACATAATTTCTGCCCAATGGCCAGGTCTGAAAACGGGTATGGATTTTAGAGTTCTAGTCTGAAAACGGGAGTGTAAAATTTACATTTTTTGGTCTGAAATCGGGTCAGGGTTTTGAGAACCGGGCGGCGCACCCCCACAAAGATTGTATAAAGATTGTATTCTAGTTAGGCGAAGCTAAATAAATAAATGAGTAAATAGGTTCCCAGGAGGTCCCCCCGGGGTTACCTCACCTACCTGGGGTTCCCCACCTCTATGTAAACAGGCCCTTAGGCTATGTCCACACGCGAATCCAGATATTTTTGAGACCGCCGAATTTTTTGACACGAATCGACCTTCCATTAACACGAAAAAGGAGAATCCGGTCACCGAAACTGGTCTCCAGAGGCGGTTTAAGGCTCCGTTCACGCGAATCCAGATAAAAAATAAGTGGTTTTAAAAATGCCCGGATTCGTCGAGACATGACCGTAGAAGACTCGTGCCAACACTGCGCCCCTCATACTTAATTGCATAAATTTGGGTAAAACCTTAATTTCTTTGCATTTCTCGTGTATGACAAATCTGCAGAGGCAAAATAGTTTTCATATCAATATACTACGATCTCTGAGATTGTTGGTTTGATTTTAAATGATTCCAGCTTTATTTTTGAAGGCGTGAGAGTGAAAACCAGCAATATGATATCACCCCGCACTTCACAGATCGGTTTTTCATAAGAGACCCTAACAACTATCTTTTCACAGACGTGTTGCCAAAGTGTTGGCTTTAATTCAGTTCTTCTTAGCTGTATTTTGTACATAAAGCTTTTAAAATTAGTTTGGCTCATTTTTAACTAATTTCGAACTTGTATCACATTATAAAATTAATTTCGTTATAACATGAGAGAATGATTCTCTCTTGGTTATAATGACCATGTTAGAAAAACGACGCGATTCATTGACGTTACACGTCTTACATGCTTTTTTCAGCCGCGTGAAATTTTTCTCAAAAGGTTTAGCAACATTGATTCGTAGTTTTACAAAAAAGATGAACCGGAAATATAAGCTAAAATAGGCAGTAAACAATTAGTTTAAAACAAAGGAGAAAATTTAAAAGAGTGAAAACCTTTGACCTTAAACTAAGGCAGATCTTCAAATAAGTCTTGGTAAGGTGGAAGTTCCCTTTATCAAGACTTTAAAATGAAGGTGGCCTAAAGGCCACAGTGCTACGGGCCTCGACCCCTAGATCCGCTCCTTTAAGAGGAGTTTAACCCTTAAATTCAGAATATCTGATAAGGACACCCCGTTAACTGGGACAAATTCTATGGATCCCTTAGTGTCCCTTATTCTCTATTGATGTCCATAGTAGACCCTTGCATGGTTTTCAACTTTTGTTAAAGAGCAGTGAGCGAATATCCATCAACACTGCCCTGAAAAGAGGACCTTGAATGAAGGTACCTTACCAAGTTTAAAGGTGCTAAGTGCAAAGAGAGCAACAGATATTGCTCCATAGAGTCGACCCTTTACAGACGTTTGTATCGTGGTGGCACGAGCAGTTGCCCCCCACCATCAAAACGTCTGTAAAATTCGTGGAATTTGCGGTGCTATATCCTCGTTAGTTTTCAACAAATCGCTTTAAAACTTGGCAACTTTATTGATTTTAAGTCGTTTTTTTTCCGTGTGTACGGATTTCGCTTGCTGGTCCCAGCCAAAAGGAGAAAAATTCTGATCCATTTGTCTGTTCCCATCACCTGTATTCTGGACCACATATTGATATTATAAGTAGTTTCAACTCACTCTTGAATGACAGAAAGTTGAATTGGGGTTGACTTTTTGAAGGTAAGTTGTCATTGTCTCTTTAGCTTGTCTACGTGAAGTCTGTTTACTGTCTCTCTATCGTACGCAACTGATGCGCTCATTTAACCGGTCAAACTTAGAACTACGTGTAAACCGGTTTCTTCAAAGGTTTTCTGACTCCACGGAGAGTGTTCAAGAAATTCACGCCCAGTATGAATTGATTCCACTTGTAGTGTTGCCCTCTACATGTTTGTCATTTACGCTGTACTGTGTTAACTGCTTACCCCGTACTGACGCACGTTTGGCTACCAGCGGAATTAATCTTGCTGGATATCCACCAGAGCCGGTTGGTGGGACAATGTACTCGCCACGCTTACTGTGCGTTCGAACACACATTATAACGCGAGGAAGACCTAATTTCATGGATAATAGAACAATAACTACTAAAGCGTCGGAAATCATTACGATAGCGATGGTAGACAATTCTCCGCTTCCGTTATCTACAGTGAATTCTTTTGGCGATGGTGAGCTTTGTATTTCTTTTGCTGGCGTTTTAGGAGAGATAGTTGTCGAGGTAACATTTGACGTGGAGGTTGGGGATGTTGTGCACTCTATTGGACAAGGTTTCGGTGTGGAAACTTTATTGATGGAGCCAGGAGAAGTCGTGGTGCTGTTAGGTTCCTCTAGTTTCGGATCATTCGGACAACCTTTCTCTAATGGATTATCAGTCGCCATTCCACTCTGCTGGGGTTGTATCATCGAAATTTTACGTTTATCCAGACTTCCCCAACATTCCAGTGGACCTACTGTGAAGTCAGATCTCTCGCTTTTGGCGTTAAATTCCAGAGCAGTGACGGGAAGAGTGTTTTTATCTGTCAAATATCCTTCATCCACTTGCTATATTTTAACCTTGTTGTCGCAATTGCAAAATTTAGAGGGACTCTTACAAGTTGGCGGGTCATTCATTCCGCATGCGCATTTTTCACTTCTAGGTTCTGCTCCGCCCCAATAGTTTTGTCTCTCCGAGTCACGTGACAGCCACGAGGCGTGAGGAGGCCCATTGGGCGAATTTAAAAGCTTAGAAAAGAAGCAATGAAACCTAACATGTTGGCGACATTTCATGCTTTTCCTAATTAATTGTTCAATTTGTTCCATAGCAATGGAGTACGTTATTTTATGTAGATAATAAGATCCTTTTCTATTCCCATCTCCTACTCTCGTTTTAGTCATTTTATCGTGACGTATTGTCGTTTTTGCGGCATCCCGGGTTAAATTACAATATGCCGTATATGGCGTTCCACCACCTACTGAGTCAACCAAACACAAAGTACGTTTCTTCAACCCCATGGCTTTGTAATATTCGCATGTGGCCTTGTAAATGGAAATATCGCATCGTTTCCCTTCAAATATGGTGTATTTACAATTACAGTAAAACCTGTCCCAAGTCTGTGTACACATGCCTCGGTTTTTACACGGATTCGGCTGGCAGCGATTCTGTAGGCGGCAAGTGTTTCGCAAATATTTATTAGTGTGTTTGTCGCTTTTAGTCTTGAGATTATTCACTGTAATCCTATGACTGTCTATCTGTAAATTGTAAACGCACCCAACGAAACCGGGAAAATCTCTCTCTTCGAAGGCACCAAGAAATATTTTCAGGCGAGATTTATTTGCAAAGTCCAGCATTAATGGCCGTGATTGGTTCAAAGGTTCTGTCCGGAATTTCTCGTCGAGTTGCAAGCGAACTTCTCGCCCTCTGACACTAGCGTTGATTTTATGCCATTCTCCATCGTCAAGTTCAGAACCCAATTTTAATGTTGTCCTTGATCCGTTTAGAGCCATAAGATTATAAATCAAAGTGCCATGTGACAATCTCAAATTCAACTTAACCTTGATCGCGCTTCGTGACAACAGAAGGCCTTGTTTGATGTATGTACGAAAGTAAAAACTCGTTCAAAATGTGTCGTTGTCTGCGTGTAACTTACGTACAGTCACTCGATAGCCTGTGTTCGGATTCGGAAGTGTTACTACCCTATAATCGAGTTCCTCGCACTTAAATGCCACATTTCCGTACACACTGACTTCTGGACTTTTGATTTCAGCCTTTCTGATCAGGTTTGCACCACGGAATGTAAGGTCTTCAATGCACCCACTAAAATTACGGCTCTGAGGACGGTGGATCTTATAGTCGGAAGACTTTATTCCACCAATGAAAATGTTGCCGTCGAGGTGAAGATCTTGGTAGTTTGTTTGAACGATTTTTGAACTTCGTAACTTATCCACCTCAAGAATAGCAATTCTTCCACGTTGTACTAAGGTGACATTGTGCTATTCACCGTCGTTCAACTCCTTATTTGCGTTTAATATTTTCACCTTTCCATGTTTGTGGATGCCTCCAATATATGCTTGATAACTAGAGAATAAAAAGTATATATCTTAATCTTTTAAAGACATTTTTAATCTACGTCTAAACCATGAAGCTCTCAAAGCGTTTCTCATACAACGAATGTCACCCAGAATTTGTAAGAGCCTGTATCCATCATTAGTCCGTTTGTTTCTATTGAATAAAAAAAGTAGCCATTCCAGCGTCTGAATTTGGGAAAGTAAAAGTGCAAGGCATATTCTTTCTAATCAATGTGGCCCATTGCTGTCGGTTGCTTCTCTTCGCCAACAACTGTTGGAAGAAGCTACTGTAGCTGTACTCTTGGCAGAACTATAGATATATGACTACAATTACAGCCATAAATGCCATCGCTTCAGTCTTATTCTAATTCTAGCCCTCCGGCTTTAAGAATGACGAAAGTGTTACTCCTTGCTACGGATAAAAATCTTTCCCACGTTGATGCAAATATGAACGCACGAGTTAGATTGAGTTTACAAAATTTTTAAAAAATGTCGACGTTGTGACATTACCCAAATCATTTTTTATGTAAAGACTACAAACGTGGGAGTGCCTTTGTACTGTACTATAATATTAGATATGAATGAAAATCACAGGAACAGCCTTTGCAAATTAAAATGTTGATCAAAATAATTTTGCCGAAATCTTTTGGTGGTCTGGATGGTTTGAGTGGTGAGGCTTTGGGCAAGAATTTCATTAAAGATACTTAAAAGCGACAGTAAAGGGCAAGATATCAGTGATATATCTTTGGTAGCATTTACGTGTAAGCTAATTCAATTTGTACTTTGTTTCACATAGCATATAGTACACTGGAAGTACCTTAAACTAACTTTTTGATGATCCGAATGAAAAATGTAGGCTTTTGCGGCACTGATTTAAGGCATAAAAAAATAAGTAGACAAATCTGATCGATAGACCTTGTCACGGTTTTCGACGCCATCTTGACGAGTAGGCAAACGTGTGAGAAATTACAGTGTTTGTACGAGAATCTAATGTCGAATAATTTCCGTAAAACGGCTGTTCTGAAAAAATTGTCAATTGTAAACTAAAGCTACAAAGCAAAGGATTGTCCTAGAAACATTTGGGGGCATACCTGTGCTTAAATTTCTCCAGAGGCTTGCTTTAGATTTTCCATATATTTGTCTGTAATTTTCCCGGGACTTTCCTACAGACAAATGTATAGAAAATCTTAAAAAGTGGTTCTATGTCTTCTAGTGCATGTCACGCCCCCAAATTTTTTCAGGAGATTCCTTAGGAGTGAAGCTTTAGTTTACAAATCATATTTTTTTTCAGAACAGCCGTTCTACGGAAATTATTCGACATTAGATTCTCATACAATTACTGTAATTTCTCACACGTTTGGCTACTCGTCAAGATGGCGTCGAAAACCGTGACAAGGTGTATTCAAGCGGTGTTTCAAACATGAGTAAAAGGGAAAATTGGTTTGTATGGCCCTCCCACGGTGTTGCAGATAGAGCCATTAAGGCCACGTGTATATTTTTTGCAGAAAAAAAAGAAGGGAAATGATATCTAAATGGATCAATATAAAAACATGCAGTGTCTAGAAACGCAATAAAATGTATGCGATTTGTTTCAAAGCGAGCAAACAAGTGAGATTTATTTCGCAAAGAAGAACTTGGCGGATCAGTGATTATCACGGTTACTTAAGCGGAGAGGCACATAAACAATGCGCAAATATAAGGAATACATATTCAAAAGAATTAAACAAAGTCGTTTTACAGAAAATAACTGCATCAATCCGATTCCCTTTAACGTTTTGTTGTTTAAGTAGGTGTTTTTGATACTACACAATTCTTTTCGGTTTCTTTTATGGAGTGCACAATCTTGCCAAAGTTTAATTTTGTGTGATTTTTTGCATGGTTTAGAATATTAATTTTGATAGACAAAAGAAGGTTATTCAGTCTCCAAAACTGCAGGGAACAATAATGCGGAATCTGATTAAACGATTTCTTTAAAAATAAGTGGTCGAAGAAATATTTCTGATTTGGACAGAGTTCTCGCTAATTTTAAAAACAAATTTTCTCTTTGATACAAAATGTTTATCATTGTATGTTAAAATAGTTAAAGAATACGAGAAATCAAGGTCAACAAGTATTTCATTCAGAATAAAAATATTCGCCTAGTAAGGAACAGATATTTATAAATTTTATAAACGTTTTTTCATAAAATTTCCTCGGTTAGCCATAAACACAGCTCTTTTCCTTGAAATCTAATAATTTATCGAAAACATTCCTTAGGAATTCATTCCTTTTTGTTTTGAAAACAAAGTAATCTTATTATATATTTTAAAAACCGATCTGGATATTTATCGCTTTGTTTCTATGTACAGTATTATACATTCTTTCCATACAGATCTGAAAATACACCCAAATAAAAATTAAGAGAAAAAAAGAGAGATGGCTATAGGAACAACAACCTTAAGAAACTAAAAAAAAGAGGAGAAATAAGACGAAGTGTTTCCTTTTCAACAGACCTTGTATTACATGTCGGTTAAGAAAAAGATGCGTTCAATGAAATACCAAATCAAAACAAAAGGCTTCTTTTCAATTGTTCTCACATCTTCAAGCTTGGCCCAGTAGTTGGTTTTTACAACTGTTTACAAGTTAGCAAGATGGTGTCACACAGCGAACGTATAAAAATTAACAACACACTTACCGCACTTGTCCATGAAAGAGGTCAAGCTGAAGGTACTCATCAGTTTTAGCTCCTTTGGAATACAAAAATAGACCGTTTGGATGAATGGTTTGGAATCGCAATTTAACAACAGTCTGTCTGGTGTTTTCACCAGATTTTAGTTTGTAAGTCATAAATTGTCGGCCTCTTAGTTTCACTTGAGAAGCGTGTAATCTCATCGAGGCAACTTCGAGGAAAATCAACAATAACTTTATATTTTTCCTTAGATCCATCGTCTAGTGTTTAGCTCGATCTGGTTTCCCCTGCTGAATGGCGCTTGAGGTATGGCACAATTGTAGATTTTAAAGAGGGTAATTAGAAGGGAGCAAACTTTAGCTGGCCGCTGTTGGAGCTCAGTGCGGCACGACTTGCCATGCTCATTTGCCTGAAAGTAGAAAGCACAATGCGAGTGTCCCCACAAGACTAGCAGAGCTGTTTTGATCAGAGCATCGCAGAGAGTTGAGAATTTAGTTAGGAGGGGGTTTGCAAATTATATGCTAACCAATGGAAACGCCAGTTGGTAATAAGCAATAGTTGATTTCAATTTTTTTTTTCAAGACGCCAGCTGTTGTATTTGACCGACACTTCCTCGACTAGGTTCAAGGATGTCTTTCCGCAAAATCAGTGTAATGAAAATGAGCCTAATCACGGCTGAGAATTAAAGGAAATTTGAAATACCGTAGATAAAGTTCTAGAGATTTTAGAGTTTGAACTTGCACGTTGTATATAGTTTATCAAGCGAAAGATCGAATGCGTTCAATTTCGTCCTGCCCTTGAAAACACCTTAAGAGTGGCTGTCTGTAAGGATCGAGAATCGGCGGTCAGCGACCCATTTGGCGAATCCCTGATATTTTGCCCAAAGTTAGCCTTGGGTAGACTTTTTTCAAAAATCATATTCAAAAGTTCCAACGATTTTGTTTATTTGTGAAAATTGAGAAAAATTAAAAGTGCAGTCAAAATGCGGTCAGAGTGCGGTTTTTTGGTTGATCAAAAGGTGCGATGATGAACCTCCGCCGAAGTCTTAAAATGAGCTCAGTTGACCTCAAAATAACAAGAATTTCAAAGCAATCAATCTTCTACACTACCAATGTTTTAATCTTTTCAAATATGATAGTACAATGGTTTTTCAGGCCATTTAGAAAACACCTTCGGAGACCGCTTCCGATAGCGGCAAAATGTAGCTAATATTCATCAGGATAAAAATGTTCCTGGTATGTCAGTTTTTAACAATTAAGCATTGCAGAGCTAAAATATAGGTCTTAAAGATTTACCAAGTAAAGTTTCAAGGTCGAACTCGAAACGCTTCCCTTCGAAGGAATCGGAAGTCTGAGCAATATCAACGTGCAAAATGGCGCCGGATTTATAACAAACATCTAATATTATAGTTACAATCACTTGCGTTAAAATATATCAAACTAAATTTACCTTTGACAATTTTAAGTTTAAGCATTGCAGAGCTAAAATATAGGTCTTAAAGATTTACCAAGTAAAGTTTCAAGGTCTATCTCAGTACGCTTTCTAAGAGACAAGTCAGTTAACTTTGTAATATTATCAGCGCTTGTCAACAAACATTAAAAAACATTTTTCTCGTCCCGTCACTCGATCAGAAGGGCACTTTCCATATCTTCTTTCGTTTGAAATTCACAAGTCGTTTTAGATTAGGTTAAACGCAATAAACACATTTGGCCTCTCAGACCTAAACAGTTTCAAAATAAAGATCGGTTGAAAAGAATTACTAACCCCACATATCTCAAGACTGCCTGGAATTTTTACTTCAGTCACTTGATCTTCCTAAAGCGCCGTATCCTGTAAATGCAACCTTGTTTCGATGTCTCAAGCGCTCAGGATGCGAGCAATACAGTACTCCAAATATTTTTAATACTATCAACTCACGACTTTTCGTTGAATTGCACAGAAGTGAAAAGGAGTTAAACAAAGTAATCCGAACCCAAACAAACAAACAAAGACTGCACTAATTCGGCGCTATTGTAAAATTGGCACTGACACCATGAAACGACTGAAACCGAAAACGAAATTTACATTTACCTTATCCTTTTCTCCATTTTGTGTCCACCATTGCAAACTTTCTGTAAAAACACATCAGAGGCTTTAAAGTTCATATTCAGATCCATTTGTGGCGCTTCGAAATGCGTGCATGCTTGGCGCACAGGAAATTTACCAGAGAGTCACGCAACCGTGCGCACGAGCACACCCGTCACTATTGTGCAACAACATTTCGCAACAGGTTGAAAATACAGCGTTGGTCATATATCCTTGTTTAACTCGGTCTCATCTTTTCTTGAATGGCTCACTGTAGCTACAAAGCGCTTCTAGGTAAGGTCACCCCTTCCCAGGGCACACCTTGCGGTCAGTCCACAGATTATCCTGGTCAGCTGGAATGTATTGCGCTCAAAGACTGTACAAAAGATGTAACTGGCCATTTAAAGACCTTAAACCTCAGCGCAGATGAGGGCTTAGGATCTGAAATAAAGTTGCTGTTAGCCAGAGCAGGTAAATACCACCCTAAAATATAATATTTTGGTCTTTTTATCAGCTATATTATTATTATACGTTTTACTTTTTATCATCATGCACTTGAGGGTGGTTATTCTCAACAAATTCTCCTTCTAGGGGTTTTCTCTGTGGAAGAACATCACTATGCCTTGAGCATTTGTCCAAGGCACAGGGCTGATTTCGGCATCCGCTGGAGGACAGGGAAGACCATGTGTACAGTGCCCAAAGAATTAGCAGTACATAAAACTACAACTGCTAAAGGGAGCCACCGAGTGGATAGCTTGAAGTCGGCGTTTATTTTCAAAACCACGAACACATGTATTCCAGTTGGATCACGTAAGTTGCAAACTTTTCTGCGAAGATTGGTTAGATAATGGTAATTTTTCACGGTTAAGAATCACATATAAGGTGGCACACAAGGCGAGGAGTTTGCTAGCACTCTATTAAAGAAACAGTAAGAAATTTCCACGAGACAGTGACAAGAGAGGAGAGAGCGTGCAAGGAGAGGGAAAGGCGCTTTTAAGATGTATTAATTATCACGTATCGCTTGTTTGTGTTACGCAGGGGTCACTTTTGCCTTGGGGGTGCGGGTAATCCAAGCACACCTTGCAGTCCTCATTCAAAATTAATGGTCTTGCGGGCAGGAAGTTCTCTTCTTTCTATGTATGTTTTAAATGTATTGTTTATACAGTATATTGACATTAATTTCTGTTCGTCTGTTCATTTTGTGTTGCTTTTGTTTCTCCGTTTAAAGCAATTTGTAAACAATGCAACGAGTATATCAGCAAACAGGCCATGCCCAACCAAACTCTAGTGTTTGCTTCAGGTGGGGTGGAGCCCGTCCCCGGGGTCTCGCACCTGCAAGAGTTACCCGAGCCCCATTTGTTGGTAAGTAGAATAAGAAACACTAGTGTAAATGGTTCGCTTAAGTGGCTCCTTTAACGATGGTATGAAATGTTTTCCTTCCAAAAAGAAATTCATCATTCATTCTTTCATTTCCTTTTTAATCCTTTTTTTTTTACTTTAGGGGATTTCTTTTCATTTCTTTCTTTCTTTCTTAACGGGTTTGTGTGGGTGTTGGCTTATGAATAAAATAAAACAAAATAAACATTTTATCATGCTTTATAGTAATTACACAATATATTTGTTTGAACTGTTTCAGGTAGAGGGGGAAACAGGCCGCCGTTCAAGTGCAGAAACAACTAGTAGTGAGTTATCATCTGATGACCTTGCAACTGAACTGAAGAGGCTGGAGATATCGTCAAGAGGGTGGGATGATGAGACGTTCCTCAGTCCGGATACCGGAAGTCTTGTTTCTTCGACGAGTGACGAGGCCCCAACCACTATGCAAGAACCTCGTAAAAAGTTGAACGAATATCTGGTTTCGAAGAACATCCCGCCAATAACTCAGCCCTGGATGGAATGGGATAAAGCTGGAGAGAGCACTAAGAAGAGATACACCAAAAGGACAGTGGAGATCTTTTCTTCAGTCCTACAAGATCTTACACCTAATTATGCAGGTTCTCTTTGGCAAGCGGTCGTCTCGTCCCCTGCCATGAACAAAGCTCTTAAACTTGATGAACTATCACACACGTCCAAGAATTATCTTCAGGCCTTAGCAGAGGCATACGGTAAAGCTCAAGGGTGGGAGACAAGAAGGCAGATCTTGTCTATCATGTCAGGCGTTGCCAGCTTCAATGATATTTCAAGATTTATACCAGGCTTAACTAGATATCGCTATAGCTTGGCCAACCTGCATCGCTTACAGTATGGTAGCGGGGCTCCCACAACGCACCACCCTTCACCGAGGATAAAGGTTGATCTGAAGCAACTTGACCATTTTTATCGTATATAACAAGTCCGCATTTGGTGCAGGATCTACCATTTGGGCAGAAAACGTTGAAACTCTCTTCTGGCCACCTGGTTGAGATACCAAACGTCATAAGGACGATGATACCCCCAAAGAATAGCACGTCAGTACGCTCAGTACTGCCACGAAACTGGCTTTTAAACCATTCAGTGAGCGTACTATGCTTCGTGTATTGGAGGAATGCAAGGCCTCGGTCCGAAAATCTCTCCAAGGACTTGACTACGTGGCCGCAGACGGTGCGCGTGCCTTTGAAGACTTAGAGAATTTAGTCCGCCGACTTGGAGAGCTCGGTCTCGGGAAAGAGTGGGAGTTGCAGTACGTGGAATTACTCAAGGGTTCAAAATTATACCTTAAAAGTGATTTTAAGGTAAGGCTTAATTAAAAATAATAATACCGTATTTTTTCGAATAAGCGCCCAACCTCGAAAAAGCGCCCACCTCGATTAGGTGCCCAGCCTCGAAAAAGTGCCCACCCCCTTTTCCTCCCACGCAAACTAAAATAAGCGCCCACCACCACCCCACCCCTCCCCCCCCTAACCCCCCCAAAAAAATTGAATAAGTACTCAAGAGACTTCCCCGAAGGCGGAGTTTTCTTCAGAGTATTTTACAGAAACCTTTTGTTACATCTTCGCGTTTGGTACTACCATTTATTGTTTTGTTACAAAATAAACATACTACTTTTGCTGAAAATGGTGAAAATTTAATAAGCGCCCAGCCTCGAATAAGCGCCCACTCTCAAGGTCCAAAAATTTAATAAGCGCCCAGGGCGGTTGATCGAATAAATACAGCAATTGGAAAGAATTTAATCATTCTTTACAAAGACTTTAAGTATAACTTTAAGTATACCATTTATTGTTTTGTTACAAAATAAACATACTACTTTTGCTGAAAATGGTGAAAATTTAATAAGCGCCCAGCCTCGAATAAGCGCCCAGCCTCGAATAAGCGCCCACTCTCAAGGTCCAAAAATTTAATAAGCGCCCAGGGCGGTTGATCGAATAAATACAGCAATTGGAAAGAATTTAATCATTCTTTACAAAGACTTTAAGTATAAAATTTAAAGAATGATTTTAATTGTCACTATTTGTCACAATAAATGCTGTGTGTTTTAAACATCTTACAGGTCCACGTGTGTTCTTCATCTGAGATTGCGAGTCATTGCAGTGTGTTTGCCTTAAGTGACTCCACCAGTCCTGATCTGCAGCAGCAGTGTAGCCACAAACACGAAGAATGCTGTGAGCAATGTGAGATCCTGCACTCAACTCTTCAGAACATTTCCTCTGCAGTAGAAAGAGCATCGTTTGCCACGCAAGATGACAAAGAAGAGGCCCTGTTCTTAGTCAACGCTTCTGTGCTTGCCATCCAGTCATGGAAATGTCATCTGCTGAGGTCGGCTCACCAGGACCAGGCTCGTTTGGACGCTATCGACGCTCTTGATCAGGAGACAGTTTTTATCGTCAACGACTGGGCGATGAAGTTTCTTCCTCATAGATACCGTGAGTCCCAAACGGACTGGTTTGGCAAGCGTGGGTTATCATGGCACATATCGGTGGTGTACAGACGGAAGGAGGAGGAACTACAGTGGCAAGCCTTTATCCACGCAGTTCAGTCCTGCAGCCAGGGGAGTTCAGCTGTGGCATCCATAATGCATCATGTCTTGGAAACACTCAAGCACGAGCACCCTGAGATAAACAAAGCGTACTTCAGACAAGACAACGCAGGCTGTTACCACTCCACTCGCACGATACTAGCTTGCAGAGAGATGGCAGCAAGCACTGGAGTAAAAGTAGTCCGCGTAGATTTTAGCGATCCCCAAGGCGGAAAAGGGGCAGCAGACCGGCTGGCTGCAAGCTGTAAAAGACATATCAGGGCGTTTATTGATGAAGGCAATGATGTTTGCACTGCCGATGAGCTTAAAGACGCATTATTATCGCATGGTGGATTGAAAGGTGTAAGAGTTGTTTCCCTTGATACGATCATCGAAACACCTGACAGTGGGCAAACTATTACTGGCATTACAAAACTGAACAATTTTGAGTTTAGCTCTACAGAGTCTGTTACCTGTTGGCGTGCGTATTGTGTTGGTCGCGGAAAAATCATCAATCCAGGATCTTCATCAAGTAAGTATGGGAATTAAAACTAAAAGTGAGCTACTGAGAATTAATGGATGAGTTGCCGCTAAATTTAAGTTCTGTATTAAAATGCAAAAGTGTAAGACCCTTACTTTATTGGAGAACCTTACCATACAATAATTATCTGCAAGTACATGTATCAGATACCTTTGGAGTTCCACGCAATATTCTTGGTTCTGATAAATGAAGAAATGATTGTCGCAGTTGTAAGAGCAATTTAAAGAATTACCATTTTGTTCAATTTTTTGGGTGGCTTAAACGGGAAAACCCATAACTTCTACGTACGTTAGCGCGGCAGCGCTCTACTAACCGAGCTATGAATACCCATGTATTGGGAACATACGTTTATTTCTGTCATGTTTGCTTTAAAAACTTATAAATGATTTGAAAAAGAATTCAGAAAACAACTCTTTATTGGTATTAATTTATTTACCCAAGGTCCTCGATACCAAGTACTTCAGAAATCATTCTCCGAAGGAGATTTTACTTCCTTTCGATGTAAATCTGAAAAACAGGTTGGACAGACAGCTTCAACATCAGCAACTGTGGCCGAGCCATCTGGTGTCATTTCGGAAGACAGTGACCTATCCACAGGGGTTTATTCCTGTCCTCAAGACGGCTGCGTTCGTGTGTTCCAAAGAGTGTCTGCTTTAGAGAAACATCTGTCTGTAGAAAAATGTTCCCGATCCCCGGAGAAATATTCTCTAATGGATTTAGCGAAAATGGGGTACAAGACCCATTTGGAAGAAGGTGTTGGCATATTGCCCTCTCTTAAAGCCCCAGTTGCTCACCAGGAGGGTCACTTTGTACCAAATGAGGGATGGGCCCTCAGAGCAGCAAAGAAGGCGTATAGATTCAGCGAAAAGCAAAAGTCTTACTTACTGGCGAAATTCTCTATCGGTCAAACAACGGGCCGTAAGCTTGACGCCGAGGTTGTGGCGAGGGAAATGAGACGCGCCCGTGGAGCAGATGGTGTGCGACTTTTCCAGTCCTCAGAATTCCTAACCAGTTTGCAGATTGCGTCCTTCTTCTCAAGGCAAAGCGCTACACTACGGCAAAAGGACCCAGCAGATGAAGCCGATATCCGGGCATCTCAAGAGGAAGCTAACTTTAGTGCAGCGAAGGAGGTCGTTGAAACTATTCAGCTCAACCATCCTCTGGTATACGATCAGTACAACCTATGTGAGATGGCGCTCAGTGGTAACTTGAAAGTCCTCAAGCTACCGATGCTTCAGCGCTTGTGCGAGGATCTCGGCCTTGATGCACCTGTCCCGCCTGTGCGCAAGAAGGCTCCATACTTGGCACTCTTAGAGGAAATAGCCAAAAAGTGCACATGCCGAAAGTAACTCTTTTATTAATAGCTTCCTGGAAGTGTTTTAGCCACAACCAGTTTTATAAAACGGGTTGAAAACGGGGAGAAGGGGTACTCCCTCAAAAAATTGCCAAGGTTCTACTGGTACCTCCTTCCCAGGTTCTCCCTCTTAGGTTGGTGCCTTTTAGAGGATGAAATCTGTGGAGTGGTATCGCCTAGGGTTCGACCGCAGCTGTAGCAGTACCTTTTAGGTTTTTTTTTAACTATGAAAATGAAGGGAACTGTTTTGGGGTTGAACTAAAGCCACTTACGTAATGAGAATATTGCGATCAGAGCCGCCTCCACAGGAAGTGGGACTAACCCCTCCTCCCCAAGTCTGAGAGTCAATGACAAAACCGAGCAAAACCAAAAAAACAATATCAAAGAAAGCTCCCCTACCGGGATGAAGTAATGAAATTCATTTTATAACTGCCTTTAGCAAGACCTAAAACAAAGATCTTACTTTGAAAAATACCCTGCGAAAAATTTTTACTTCTAAACGTACTCCTTCCCCACCCCCATCGTGACAACATGTCAAAACGTTTATCCCGCGGGTGGGAAGTTATTGTTGTTGTTGTTGTTTTTTAATATTATTATTCCTACCGGTTCGTGAAAATAATACTTCTTTTTAGAAAAATACTAATTTGAGCAAAATTAACTCGTTTAAGTTTTAAGACCACGCTGGGTGGGAGGGAGAGGGTAACTGAGATTGCGTTACATTTACTGGACTCGAATATCAACATACGGTTTATGACAGAATGCCGTTTGTTTCGATTTCTTAACACATGTAGCCTTACGTGTTTCAGATACTAAAAACAAAAACTGTTTGAAATTGTGAAAACTAACGTCGATTCAAACTCTCCCTGTAGTGGAAAATGGCTTTCAGCAACGTTGTATGATTAAATACCGCCAAAAGCTATAATGTGGCACTTTGCCGGTTATTATTATTGTCGCGGTAATAACTAATTATTTCCAAAATTTCAACGATCTTTCCAGCAAACTACCTTCGTTTTTTTTAAAGTCATACAATTACTATTTCATTCAAGAAACCTTGGCGAACGATAAATATCTAGGAAAACGTCCTGGATGCATGGATAGTTTGACACAAAGGCGGCTGGTTTAACTGATTTATCAGGTTTGTTTACATTACCTTGCGATAACCAAAGTGGACTATCTACATCAAACTGATCTGTTCAAAGCACTGGATGTGTCTCCTATGAGCTCTTGGGTATTTCTATAAGCGGCAAACTTAAAATTGTCAAAGGAAAATTTAGTTTGATATTTTAACGCAAGTGATTGTAACTATAATGTTAGATGTTTGTTATAAATCCAGCGCCATTTTTGCACGTTAACATTGCTCAGAGTTTCGATTCCTTCGAAGGGAAGCGTTCCGAGTTCGACCTTGAAACTTTATTTGGTAAATCTTTAAGACCTATATTTTAGCTCTGCAATGCTTAATTGTTAAAAACTGACATACCAGGAACATTTTTATCCTGATGAATATTAGCTACATTTTGCCGCCATCGAAAGCGGTCTCCGAAGTTGTTTTCTAAATGGCCTGAAAAACCATTGTACTATCATATTTGAAAAGATTAAAACATTGGTAGTGTAGAAGATTGATTGCTTTGAAATTCTTGTTATTTTGAGGTCAACTGAGTTCATTTTAAGACTTCGGCGGAGGTTCATCATCGCACCTTTTGATCAACCAAAAAACCGCACTTTGACCGCATTTTGACCGCACTTTTAATTTTTGCCAAATTTCCCAAGTAAACAAAATCGTTGGAACTTTTGAATATGATTTTTGAAAATAGTCTACCCAAGGCTAACTTTGGGCAAAATATCAGGGATTCGCCAAATGGGTCGCTGACCGCCGATTCTCGATCCTTACAGACAGCCACTCTTAAGTCGATCTACCGATACCGACGAAAAGGAGCTTTTTTTAAAATTACGACAAAAGTAGTAATTAAAACCCGCATTGATAAGGAAGACAAATCAAATTTTTCGATTATTTGATTCTCTTACCGAATCGTGATGTTTGGTCTGTCAAGAGAAATGTCAGTTAGGATTTGTTTTCTATTTTGAGCAAAAATTCAATAAACACGTCCCCAACCTACATCTCAACAAAAGAGTTCCTTGTCATAGGCTAGCGATGGTTTCATGTATAGCTCAACGCTACATCATTTGATCTTGAATGTTAAAAGAAGTTTAATACGTTTCAAGTTTAGTTAAAAGGAAAGAAATTTCTTACTCTTTAGTTGATATTTGATCGATTCTCAAAAGCTAACCCTTATTTTGAATATTCTGACACACGAACAATTATTTTTAATTAGTTGAAAATCTATTTAACAATGTATCTTTCTTCGTTACTTGATAAAATCTTGACCTTTACACGCGAAAAGGAAGTTCAAAATGTTGGAGCTCTATCTGTCTGGGTTCTTTAACTATATGAGAATTATTATTAATAACAGTTTGCTGTTTTACTATATTTTTGAATAAATTGTCACGCACAACTTTGCCTTTTTAAATTTCACTATGATAATAAAGTAATGTGAATTATGTCTATAAATTATCCGGCTGTAATTATTTCCTTTGCTAGTTTAGTTTGCAGTGACGCGTAAACAGCAAATTTTAACTCAAAATACTTGTAAATTTTTGTAATGTTAATGATTGCATTTTGTGCACGTATGCCAGGTTTGTAATTGTAATAAAATATTCTTCTTATCGCATGAGGTAAGACCGGGAGGGTGAAATGGAGATTACAGAAAGATACGTCGTTTCCAGATAAAATTTTATTCACGGTTAGCGAATTATCATTTATGGGTATATGTTTAGAAGATAAGTATCCACTGCCAAAATGGAGACGATATATTTTTAAAACAGCGCTGATTACATCGTTTCAAAATGCATGTAAAATCTGCTATTGGAAAGCCCGTACACAGACGTTGTTTTCTTTCTCCTTTCGAAAATCTTTTTCCGCGGCCGGTACGCGTGCTCGAAGATTCCTAAAACACAAAATTATGAGAGGGTATTTGACGAAGTAGTATTGGCTGGAGAGACATAAGAGTTTTTGTGTAAGAATCAGATCTTAAAACGCCGAGATACGTAGTTAAATAATAATGTGGGGGTTTTTTCTTTATGGGATTCTCAGTTTTTTTTTTATTTTATTCCAATAATACGCGGCTCTTTGCACTTCCCTTTACCATGAATTGTGAAAATCTCTGTGTAATCTGCAAGGTCACTTATCTATGATTAAAGAAGTTGTATCAACTGAATCTACTGTACGATGTCGATGATGTAAAAGCAGCTCAATTCGGTTGGTATAATTATTTTCATACCGCAATTGGAAAATTGATCTTTCAGATATGAGGTCAAAGCCCCCTCAGTTAAAGGATTAACAGCGCTTCTATGTTAAATTTCACATCATTATACGTGCTATCAAAAAGACTCTTTCAGATTGGACCCGGATACCACTCAGAGATGAGTGAATTACCAGTTCCTCTTTAGTACTTCCCACAATTCTATGCGAGCTCATTCTCTTCCTCAGAGCCACCCGACTAAATTTGTAACAACCACGTGACCAAATGGAGGGAGCTTAGCCTCCCACGCAGCCGTTTTGGTCGGTTTTCAGTAAAACACGGGGCCGTAGCAGAATGCTGTTATCTCGCGATTTAGATCTGCTCAGCAGTGTATGTTTTTGTTATAAAATGAAATGCAGTGAAGCTCTTTTGTCAGGTTCATTAAGGCAGATCTGAGTTTAAGACAAGCGACGGTAGAAACATTTTTCAGCGTCACAGTTAATTTCGGTATAAGAGAAAGTGATAAGGCAACTCTGAGAGACCTATAACAGACGTCCATTGCTTTGCACGACGCAGAGGTTTAACATTTTGAAAACTGTGATGATGCTATTTCTTAAGACACATAAATGTTTGTGCAAGTTTTGAACCCGGGAGTCATTTCATAAATACCATCGAACCTACACATAACGACCACCTCTCCACAACGGCCCCCTCTCTACAACCGCAACGGCCAGTTTTTTTAGCTGACTAACGAAAAAGTCAAGAATGGCCACTACAGTTGAACTGTATGGCGCGTCGATGATTAATTGCGACAAGTATTTCATTTCATTGAAGAAAAAATATAAATAGTACATTTTTGTAAGAACCTTTTTTTAGAAAATACTTAGAACATGTAACTCAGGTTGAGAGTCAGTTAGACACATTTTTTTGACAACCGTTTTAAATATTTTTTACATGCGCAATAGAAATTAATAAATTCTTCTTCTTCTTCTTCTTCTTCTTCTTCTTCTTCTTCCTATACTTGATAAGCAATTATTGACTGAGAATTCTGCAGATCGGTCGATGATATAACCTGGAAAGACTTTTGTATTACGAATATCACCTAACATCATTTTTGAGCGTATTTTGACATAAAAAATGAAGAGCATGAATTTCCCAATTTTTTTTTTTTTTACCAAAATCATGGGTTAACCCCTTTGTAAAAATCCAATGTGGCGACCTATTTTAAAATCGATATCTATATACCCTGTAAAGATTTAATTTGTATATCAATAATATCACCAAACATCATTTCTTAAGGCTTATTTTGACAAAAAGAATAATGAGGAGTGACGAATTTTCCCTCTTTTTTAAAAGCAAATCACGGGATAAAATTATCCCCTGTGCTAAAATCCAATATGACAACTGGGTAAAATCGGTTTCTTTATACCCTGGAAAGGTTTAATTTACATAAAGAATCTTAACACACTTTTGTAGGCCTATTTCGACCAAAAACAAAGTGACCAATTTCTCAATTTTTGTAAAGGTTTAATTTGTATCAAGAATAGCACCAAACATCATTTCTAGGCCGATTTTGACAAAAAAATGAAGAGTGTTGAATTTGCCAATTTTTTGACCAAAGGCATGGGTTAACCCCAGGCCTTTGCAAAAATCCAATATGGCAACTTTGTAAACTCGATTTCGTTTTATACTGAATCGA